TTGCAAGCGGTGTTGATGTATTTTTTTAGAGGACCATAAACACTTCGGTCTAATGGCTGAAGTTTATGGCTGCAATGAGGTGGAAACGATAAAACAGTAACTCCGTTTTGTTTAAAAATATCGAGTGCAGTTATTGACAAATGAGAATCATGATTATCGAGCAACAATAACACTGGTTTTTCTTTTGAACATCTTACGTTGTGTATAAAATGCTCTGCAAATTTTATAAACTGTGTCTCGGTCATCCATCCCGAAGGATTCGCATCACCTATACTGCCAGGTGGACCGCTTCGAACAAAGTGCGCTCGATAGTTTTTCCTAGGAAATATGAAATACGGAGGAATTGAATTGCCTGACGCTGAAACAGCAATGGCCACTGTCACTAGGGTACCCCGTTCTGCAGACGTTATTCTGCCAATTTGTTTAAATCCTTTACGAGCCACTACTCTATCAGGTTTCTGTACGGTGGTGATACCGGTTTCATCCATGTTATATATGTCACTCGCAGTTAATTTCAGTCGGTCTAAAACTGTTTTAAGATTTTTAAAAAATTGTGACACATTATGTTCATTAAAACTTGAAGCTCTAGCTTGGCTAGTAGCCTCTGGAGTTCTGATGGATAATGTCTGTTGTCGTTTTAAGAACGAAGTAAACCAATCAGGCCCTGCCATTTGGTTTGTAGACCAAGATGTTGGAACCGTAATATTAAGAGTCGTAGCATATTGAAAAGCCAACTTTCGAACCTGCTTTGGTGTAAGTCCATAATAAATATCAGATGCAGTTTTTAGATACTCACATAAAGCCTCTTCGTCTTGCACGTTAAAGATCTAAAACAATATATCATAGTTATTACCTAAGAAAATTTAGACTCTTAAAAATATTTATACCTGTCTGTTCTTCTGATATCCTACATGCAGCACAGATGGAATACCTCCAAGTTCCGTTTGCAGTATATCCGTTTTCATTTTTTTACAATATCGTGCAAGAGTGCGCACGCCTATATTATAGTCTTGCGAAACAACCTTCAAACTTAACTTATCAATAATATGAGCACGTACAGCTCGTTCCATAACGTCAGCAGGTGTTTTTCCTCGCTCTGTTTTTCTTTTATAGGTTCGCATGGTTACGTCTGTAAATAATTAGATAATATACCTAGTTAGATAATACTTTTGTTACAAAAATACATTTCATAGTTATACACGGGGCAGGTTGGCACATCGTGACAACCTGCCCCATTCATAAAATGCCAACCAACCCCGATGACGGTTTTTCAACTAAAATGGCTAACACGTGTTTACGAATTCATAAACTGTTAATTTGTTTACGCCAGATTAAAAAGCTATCAATATACTTTCATACCATCATCACAGAAAATAACTTAAACGTTTGTACTAGATAATATTAAAAAAAGTGTACGACAACGAAAAATTACTCACCAAATGTAAAACCACAAATCAACACTATATTCACTGGATAACGTTACAACTTCGACTGAAAGTATGGTAATACAAGCGCCAACGGTTTGTGCATGCACAGGTCGGCGCGCTATGTTTTACTATGAACGGCGCGTAATTTAAATGCACAATGTCAACGTACCCCGTATGACAACCAACCCCGGTGTCCCCTATGATTAAAGAAACCAAATAGCAGTGGTTCTATGTACTTTAATTACAAGGATTTTTTTCCATTGTATTACTAGCAGTAGTGGATGCGAATTATAGATTCATCTATATTACAGTAGGTTCATATGGCAAAGAATGTGATTCCTCTATATTCAAAGAATCGACTTTCTGGAAAAAGCTAACTAATGGCAGTTTAGATTTGCCGGATGCTTGTCCTCTTTCTGAAGGTTTGGAATCAAGAGTACCTTTTGTGATAATAGGGGATGAAGGATTCGGTTTACATTATAATTTGGTGAGACCCTACGGAGGAACTGATCTAGATAAAAATAAAAGAATATTTAATTATCGATTAACTAGAGCCAGACGCTACGAAGAATGTGCGTTCGGAATATTGGCAAACAAATGGCAAATATTTCATCGCCCATTGGACGTAAGCATTAGTACCGCTATAGTAAAAACGTGCACTGTACTCCATAACTATATAATAAATAATGAAAGTTCATATGCTAACATGGAAAGCAACGAATCAACATCTTTGTTAAATATACGGAGCGATCTAAGTACGCGAGGTGGACATTGTGCAAATACAATACTAAGAGAGTTCACTAATTATTTTATGTCTGAAGTGGGAGCTGTACCGTGGCAAGATGAAGCAATACTATTTCAATAAAGATTTAAATTTAAGACTTACCATAATTTTTTCTTTCTTCCTCTTCCATCCCCCTAAATTCTTCATTCAAAATAATACAAACTTCGCGCCATGCGGTAGTTCGCAAATTTTTATCCTTATAGTTCTCTAAAGTTTTGTCCCATATTATAGGTCTATTTTCTATAAGAGGAATAAGTACTTCTGGGTCTATTTTGGTTTTGCGTCATCTCGCAGCACAATCACAAAACTGGCCTTGCATATACTGGTAAGCACTGAGCACTGAGCGAAGGAGTGGAATCGGTCAAGAGGCAGCTGTCTTCGAGGCGGGCTTCGAATCTCTCTCCGCTCCTCGCACCGCGTCCAGTAAAAAACGGTATCCAGGAAGTGGTGAGAACACTTCCATTACACTATACGTATAAATAAACTGGATCCTTTTTTTACTGGACCCATTCCAGTGGCAAAACCGAATGTCAAATTTAAAGAGATCGGTTTTTTGTTGGATACCGTAAACAGGATGCTCGTGTGATTGCAAGTATCAAGTACGTATACTTTATAGTCAACAAGACCCTGCAAAATACTGTAGGTACCTTCAAAAAATGGGATGTTGTCGTGTGAAAGGACTCTAAGAAGTTTTTTACTGTACGAACGACGACAGGGGAATGCAAGATAAAATTACAAATTTTGAAACTACTTGACAAGCTCAGCTCATATTTGGTTTATTTTGAATTCATGTCAAACTTGTTGAAAAATTACCTCAAAAACGCTAAAATTGTCTTTTTTGACATTTTTAATTGTTTATTTGTATTTTATAAAGTAAAGTTATATACTTCCGTGCATAGAAATCGGCCCACTGTAAACTTTTGACTTTAACTATATTTTTTTCAAGAAATATTCATCAGATCACAAAAACAAATATACTGTTTGAAAGACAATTTAATATGCTTTAATATGAGTATAAATTTATCAAAAAGGCTTATTGTTTACATGCGTAGTAACCGGTAAACAAATGAAACGTGTTTATGTGGTGATTGTCACGAAAATAACAAAATTGTCTAATTGTAAAAGTATTGCCTTTGCAAGTGAAATTTGCATATTATTTGTTTTTCATAATCTCAGCAGTGTTCAAGTGTGTTAGTTTAATGCACACTACACCACAAAAAGCCGCCCAAGTTATTGCTCTAATCGAAAATGGACTTAGTCAGCGAGCTGTTGCTAGACAATTCGATATGACACGCGCAGCGGTTTGAAGAGTGTGCCAACGTTAGGAGGACACTGGATCCTTTCATAGGCGACCTGGAACAGGCAGACGGCGATTTGCAACCGCTAGTGATGACCGCTTTATTGTGTCAACAACATTAAGAAATCGTCGCCTTAATGCCGTTCAGGTGCAACGACAGCTTCGTGAGGTGCGAAAAGTGGCTGTTAGTCAGTGGACAGTGAGACGAAGACTGCGGGAAAATAACCGGACCCCTAAAACATCTGCGATTGGTCCAAAACTTACTTTAGCTCATCGGCAAGCACGCCTTTACCTTACGTCGACTACATTGGAGACGAATTTATCTTTATTCATGACAATGCAAGGGCGGACACCGCAAGAATCGTGCAAGATTACATTGCAGAAGTCGGTTTTTTAGGTTATAGACTGGCCAGCAAACAGTCCTGACCTAAATCCGATCGAACATTTATGGGATGAGCTAAAACGAAGAATTCGAGCTAGACTTCATACCCCAGACTCGATCCCAGAGCTTATTCTTGCAGCAGAAGTGTGGCGTAACATCCCACAAGCAACAATAGCAAACTTGATTAGATCTATGCCTAATCGTATGAGAGATGTTATTAGGGCAAGAGGAGGTCATACCCATTATTAAAAAAATAAGTGTTTAGTTTTAAATTGTCAATAACCCTATTTATGTTAATAATAAAAAAGCTTAATTTGCTTAATGAATTCATTTCACTATGTTAAACATAGGAAGTCGAAATAAGTTTTCATAAATTTATACTCAGATTAAAGAATATTAAATTGTCTTTCAAACAGTATGTTTGTTTTTGTGATCTGATAAATATTTCTTGAAAAAAGTATAGTTAAAGTCAAAAGTTTACAGTGGGCCGATTTCTATGCACGCAAGTTTATAATGTATTTTTTCTTCTGAGGGTTAAATATCCTCATCAGAGATTTCAAGATGAGTACAAAATTAATAAAAGTAGAAAAAGTGCTCCAAAGTGGTCGTTAAAGTTACCATTTAACTGATTGTGAGTAGTTTCTTTTCTTTCTATTAACCAATTTAGTAATAAACTTATATGTACAATGGATTTATTATTTATTGAATATTAAGTTTTATATATTTTTCTTCATTTTGTAATGCATCACATTTTTTGATACATGTTTGCTTCCTTCCCAAAATAAAAAAAATTACCTATGGCTATGATTATAAAATTAATGACAGTGACATATTTTTGTAAATTGGTAGAATTTTTTCGGATAGGTGTGGAGAATCGAATTCAAATCCCGTCGGAGGGAAAGGTTTAAAGTGTAAATAATACATATACATACCAGCAAATGCACAACGAGTCTAAAGCGACAGTGATAAAGAAAACTTGTTAAGAAGTTGGTAAAGAAAATAGGGTTACACTTTTTCAGTGTATTAATAAAAAATCACAAAAATTTAAACCTAATGTCTATTTATACTGGACTTTGGTTAATATTTTATTGTAACAGTAAATATACTTACCCCATTATATACCGCCTTTGATTCATTATAGCCTGAGCAGCAGATAGTGCAATGGCTTGTGACGGTCGTCTCAAAGCTTGTATAATTGCTGATGCTCTTCTGGAATTGTTCCTTGAATCATTAGTAGTATCCAAAGGTTGCTCCGAAACTGCCCTAGATAAAGATGTTGGAGTATCGGATATGGTTATTTGAGGTATCGTATGTTGAGATGTCGCTATTTGAGTTTGCTGTAGTGGGGGAGGCAACAGAAATGCATAACTTTCGTCATTGTGTCCTGGTGATGGGGGAGGACTAAAAAATTAAATATTGTTTTACTTTGTACATATAAAATTTATCTAAATTTATTACAAATTAGTTATTGGAAAGTTTTTATTATAGATATGTTGAACATGTTATATAATCTAGTCAGGATATGTTGAGGCTCAGCTCTCTAGTTACTTTTATCTTTAATCTGTGTATAAGTATGTATAAACATATATGAAATGTTGTTTACAACTAAAATTTTAATATGCCTTGGTCAAAAAATTCTGAAAAATTTTATAAAATAAATCTGCTAATATGACCCCTATATTTTAAACTTTTATCCTAAATATCTAAGAAAGTATCATATGTAAGAAAAAATAGATACGAGTCAAACTAATATAAACTAAATTTCCTTCCCTTCCCATAGCGATGACATCTCATCAAAAAGTGGTAAAAATAATGTTTGGAAAATAATCCAACCTTGGGAACAATGTTCCCACTTCTTTCACCTAGCTGCAACACCGCGTTGTCTTTGAAATTTGACTTTGCATGAGATTGCTCAACGAACTTTCTCTTCATCCTCTTACATTTCAACTTCCGAAAAAAGCAGCTACACCGGCGAACAATCCGATCTCGTATTAACTGTAATTTATAATATTTTTGTATCAAAGCACATAGCAAATAAATGGCAACTGTTTGTAATTTGACGTAATACATTTCTTCCGAGTAAGAAGGAGCGTATTTTAAATCCATGAAATAAAAAAGAACCACCGCTTAATGATGATACACCACAAGTCGAAGGAATAATCAGAAGTAATTTGTAAACAATTACTTGTACCCAAACAAAAGAATATTTATTCAGCTATACTTAAACGGTGTTAAAGAACCTACCCGTTCCAAATAATGTTTTGTAAATTTTCGTATAAGAAATGCTCTTTCAAACTTTCGAAACCTTTGTGCTGTTTTTGCATAATGATTATGCGACCCTATATTTGGAAAATTGACCATTTATAAAATAATTCTTTGAATTTAAAATTTTGATTTAGTAAAGAATGAGGTTGTGAACTTGCTAAAAGAGGAATAGCTACCATGTGATACTGTAATCCTAAACTTTGACTTAAACGCGACATAATTCCCACTGGGCGAAAGTCAAAATATAAGCGTCAAATAACAAGATAGAATAACAGTCCTAGCTCATTCCACGAGAAAAGTCATCAAGATATGCAAAACTTTACGATTTACCCAAAGTACACAAGACAGGGCTACCATTACGACCAATAGTCAGTTCTATTGGATAATCTTTACAACCACCAGCAAGAAAGTACATGTGAAACCGATAATGCATTTTTTTGCAATTTGTTGTCGTGTGGTAGTTTTCCAAGAGAAGTGGAAAGGTTTTTATAATCAATAAAGAACAAAAAGATAGATGAAACAAAATATAGACTGTGAATTACACACATTACGGCCAAGGTTTTTAAAAAAAATGTATGTCAGGGACTGCTGAGAGGTTTAGAGAGAGAGTTAAAGAGTCCAATTTGCAGCCTACCTTAAACTTAAATTGAGATATATCGACAGTAAATGTAATTATGAGAGTAAAAGGAATATCTGGTATAGCGAACACTGGTATACAACGTACCAGAAGATATTGTGTTTTACTAACACTTAATGTTAAAGGACTTAAGGGCAAGATTCCTGTTCCTAGAGATTATCCACTTGATTATTGGGATATTTGAGATATTATAAATTTCGGCAGAGGCAAAGTACCGTTCTTTGGAGTTTATCCTATGCAGAATACGTCGTTCAGTAGTTAGAAGTTTCTGTTTCTGAGATGCATTTAAGAGGCACTAAATGTGCGATATGTATTCTTAACCTAAAAATTCGTTAGCAGAGGTTTCGTACCAGGTGTGCCATTGGAGAAGCTGGTGTGATTTTGGTTGATAGGAGTATCTGCGAATGTTTGTGGTTGGTAGGCGAATCTTTCACTGGACACGCCACCCTACGGATAGTTGTGCGTAAGTTTACACTATTAGAATAGAATCCAACACATAGCAAGAGATCCCTTAAACCATCGGGAAAATTGGGTCAGTGACCTATTCATTAATTTTCACCCCATCTTATAAAACAAATAACTATTTGAAAAAGACAGCAAATATTTGATTTCACGCAAACAGCGCCTTTGTATCTGTTGATACGTATTTCGACCTAATAGGTCTCATCAGAACAGTTATTCAAAGGTGTTCTCAACGTGAAAGATCAATATTTTCTGTCTTTTAAGAAGCAACAATAACATGGCTTCGATACGGACGCACTAGCGACATCTAATTTAACAATCGTAAAATAGTTTCGAAACACAATTCAGATTTCTGCTTTTATCTGTGCTTTCTAAAAATTGCAAAGCAAAACAGACGTTGATAAAGGTGTTAAAAGAGACGTGGGGAATCTAAAATTTGCATTCCACGACACATCTTTCAACTAAGCAGAAATCCTTAGCGAATTGGTTTCTAGTACTCGTACAGAGTAAATCCGAAAAAAGTGAAAAAGACAGCAAATATTTGATTTCACGCAAACAGCGCCTTTGTATCTGTTGATACGTATTTCGACCTAATAGGTCTCATCAGAACAGTTATTCAAAGGTGTTCTCAACGTGAAAGATCAATATTTTCTGTCTTTTAAGAAGCAACAATAACATGGCTTCGATACGGACGCACTAGCGACATCTAATTTAACAATCGTAAAATAGTTTCGAAACACAATTCAGATTTCTGCTTTTATCTGTGCTTTCTAAAAATTGCAAAGCAAAACAGACGTTGATAAAGGTGTTAAAAGAGACGTGGGGAATCTAAAATTTGCATTCCACGACACATCTTTTCAACTAAGCAGAAATCCTTAGCGAATTGGTTTCTAGTACTCGTACAGAGTAAATCCGAAAAAAGTGAAAAAGACAGCAAATATTTGATTTCACGCAAACAGCGCCTTTGTATCTGTTGATACGTATTTCGACCTAATAGGTCTCATCAGAACAGTTATTCAAAGGTGTTCTCAACGTGAAAGATCAATATTTTCTGTCTTTTAAGAAGCAACAATAACATGGCTTCGATACGGACGCACTAGCGACATCTAATTTAACAATCGTAAAATAGTTTCGAAACACAATTCAGATTTCTGCTTTTATCTGTGCTTTCTAAAAATTGCAAAGCAAAACAGACGTTGATAAAGGTGTTAAAAGAGACGTGGGGAATCTAAAATTTGCATTCCACGACACATCTTTTCAACTAAGCAGAAATCCTTAGCGAATTGGTTTCTAGTACTCGTACAGAGTAAATCCGAAAAAAGCAAATTTCACGCAAACAGCGCCTTTGTATCTGTTGATACGTATTTCGACCTAATAGGTCTCATCAGAACAGTTATTCAAAGGTGTTCTCACCTTTAACACCTTTATCAACGTCTGTTTTGCTTTGCAATTTTTAGAAAGCACAGATAAAAGCAGAAATCTGAATTGTGTTTCGAAACTATTTTACGATTGTTAAATAACTATTTATTAGATATATTTGACATATTTGGTATTTTGTCAAATGTTCGAATAATGATTTTGTGCTGATCTAAATTTATTCCTATTGTTCTGAAGCTATTTTCTTGTGGCATTGTAAATTAACTACTATTTATAACTGGGAATAAGCCACAATTAAAGATAAAAATACGTTTATTGACGTTTCAATTTCCAATTCGGAAATCGTTCTCAAAATACAAACAGTAAATTAAACAAATTTTGTTTTTTTGTTACATGGTGAAAAAAATTCTTCTAATAATTTAATTTTATCTGACTCATTTATATTGACAATTCAGACATACATTATGCATTTTAAAATAGACGACTTTAAAATGATATTGCCAATATTGTTGAGTTGCGCTCCTGGGACGACTTTACTTATAAGATAGTTCATTCGATTACATGAAATCAACTTTAACTTCGTCTTTAAAAAGACAAACACATGACATGATGACAGTAAAATTCTCCTGTTAGTGATTCCATAGTAAATTATGAGGGAAAAAACCAGGAAAAAAACCTCATAATACTATCCCGACGTTGTAAGTATTTGTTCGTGAATTTAGTTTACCTTCAACAAACATCAAAATTCTGATTTTATGTTACGTTATTTAAAAAACATAAATGATGTATCCTCTATATGTTACTGACTTACTAATACTGGTATTTTCTTATTAATAACTTCCTCTTTCAATATTGGTAACCAGATCCTACTACATTCTGCCGAGGAATTTGCAACACAATTGGCCTCATTTAGCATAATTAGAGCCGCTTCTTTGATTTTTCTTTTTTTACCATCCGTTTCTTTTAGGACTATATTTGAATTATTTCATTGAACCCTATGTTCATTATCCCATGCGTGTTTACATATTTGAGATCTATCAAATTCTCTATTTTTAATATAAGATTGATGTTCACTTAATCTAACATTTAATGGCCTTGATGATTCACCTAAATAAAACTGATCGCATTCACAAGTTATTTAATTATTATTTAAATTTATTCCGTCTGGTTATTTTAGAAAACAATAAATTTGATATATGCTCCTTTTAATTACTCTTCTATTTTTTCCTGTGATCGTCTTTATATCTGTTAATGTCGGTAAAGACAGACAACTAAAATATAAATCGCAATTTAAATATCTTGCAGTGAATGGTTATTATAGATTCAATAATTACAGGACAAACAAGCCCAATTTTGCTGCGAATGTCAATTTTGGAACCACAAAAAAAATCCTAAAAGCTCCCCTCAGAGAGGAAAGAAAAACATTAATTTACCAAGAATTTCTACGAAAAAAAATTGTTCTTCTTCTTTTTCTTTTATGTTGACATGTCTGTCTTTCAATGTGCCTCCAGTAAGTTGTCATTTCATCGTTTTCGTGGTCTTCCTACTGACCGTCTTCCTATTGGGCAACCATCTCTTGCCATCTTTACTACTCTATTTAATGTCATTCGGCTTGTGTGATCGTTTCAACCTACTTATATATTTCTTTCCCAGTCTTTTA